ATATGGTGAAAAAATCGTAGACTGTATATGGGCAACTCTATTGCACCTACTTCCCCCTTAACAAAAGAGAAGGAAACAATCTGGCACTCATGAGTAGAAGCAAAATGTCATCAACAATACAACTAAATTGAGAGGAAGACTTAGATATGATCAAATCACATAAATCTCATTTATTAAATTTCATAAAAAAAATATAATTAATGTACTATAGTATAATTTTAGTTGATATTTAACTTGATTGAAAGACTTAGATATGATCAAATCACATAAATCACATTTATTAAATGTCATAAGAAAATAAAATTAATGTACTATAGTATCTTTTTTTTTTTTTGAAAAAGAGGTTATTTTTTTTTTTTTTGAAAAAGAGGTTTTTTTTTTTTTTTTTTTTATGATAAAATCTCAACTTAGCTAGACTATGATATAATTGTTCAAATGCTTTTGATGATTAAATAAAATACATATATATCATATATGTATCAAGGGAACAAATATTTCAATATTCTTAATTAGTAATACATAAACACATTAGAATATTCGAAAGATACGAAATCAATCAATGCTATATGCAGTATTTTTATACTTCTTTAATTTAACTGAATATAGAGTACGAAGGTGTGATTTACAGTGGGTATAACTTACAACATCAATTATCTTAAGGTATTTTGGGTCATTTTTCTTCTAAATATAATTGGCAGGCTAATGTGGTATGGTTGATAAAAAAATAAAGACAACACTCAACTCTATCAAATTAGTATTAAAAAAAAAACCAAAGCCTTTTATTAACCAATAAGAAAACATCATCAAACCCAAAAAAAAAAAAAATATTCATAGTTGATGTATTATTAAAAAATAATTCAAAAACCTTACGTAAAAACTACTTCAAGACAAAATCACTTTAGTGTTATCTATCTTAATAACATTATTCAATTGGGTTTTAAGTAATAATTCATGAATTATTCCTTTATTCCTTCTTTTTCTCAATAACAATCTTATTTTGAGTTTTATTAGTTGAAAACTCAGATGATGTGAGATATCCTTCTGATAGTTCTGAACACGAGTTCTCAATCTCTTCAAAGCTTCTCTTTTTGTTCGAAGTAATACAGATAGTTGAACAATTATCATCCGTCTTCTCATTGTCGTTGAGAGAATAATCCTACATAATTGAAATAATAATTAATAAAGTACGTTTAAAAAACATTATGCGTATCTTTTTGAAAAACATAAGAAAATCTTTGTATACAGTCTATAATAACAATACCTTTTCATTTTGGATGGGATCCTTAGCTTGAAAATATGGACAGACTTTGAAGACACATCTATTTCTTCATGCTCCACAAACTATGTCAATAGAAAATGGTAAATACATATGTAGTATATATATATTATAAATCAATAAAGTGTTTGTGCAATTAATAAGTACCTTATTAGAATTGTTTGCATCTTCAAATAGTTTTATGAGATTCATATCATCAGACAATTATCCTACATAAACATTGAAACTCCATAAGATCGATGTAGCACAACTTATACTTATACACATATTTAAAAAATGATAACAAACATTAGATTACAAACCTGTTCATCTAGTAGAACTATCACTACAGAATTTACATCGTTAGCATTATTAAAAAGATGGAAAAGTCCATAAGCATACAACCCTAGCTTGTATAGTAATATTTTCATTCGACTAATTGATATTTTGTAGTATAAGCTTTAAATTTCACGCCATTAGAAAACATAACGTTTAAAGTTATTTAGTGGTTGTGATTAAAAAATTTAGATTAATGCTTTTTATAATGGTTAGGTACGATTTTTTTGGAAAAATTGAGATAAAAATAAAAGGTAAAAAGAATCATGCATGATTTAACTGACTTTTTGTAAATTTATTCAATTTTTCCTATCTTTGTTAAGTCTAAGATTGCAGAATAAATCTATTTTACTTTCTCTAAAGTAAGGATATAGTCATCATCTTTACTAAAATCAAATGTAAACATTATAACCAAACTTGTATCATAAATGACTTTCTTTATTTTTTTTGTTAAACCTACTTTAAAGCTATGGTAATATATATTAAAATAATATGATTAGCTAAGTTTTTTGTGAAGGGAAATTGCTTATCAGTTAACCTTAATATATAATATGATTAGCTAAGATTTTTTTAAGGGAATATTGCATATAAACGATGGTAATAATATATATTAAAATAATATGATTAGTTAAATTTTTTTTAAGGGAAGATTGCATATCAACCGTAATAATATAATTAGCTAAGATTATACTATATATATATATATAAGGGGAGGGATCCGGTGAGAATATGTCCATATGTGAGAATTCATACTTATATGAGAACTGATTTAAAATTTAGAACATGTGACTTAAATTAAAATTTTGAACATATGAGTAATAATTTAGAACATTTATGTGAGTAATATGTTTAGAACATCTAATTTAAGAATTAGAACAAGTGATTAAAAATTTATAAAATTTGCTTTATGAAATTTTAAACTTATGAGTTAAATTTAGACTCTGATTTAAGATTATGAACATGTGAATAAAAATTTAGAACAAATTGATATAGAATATAGAAAGTGTGAGTAAAGAATTTAGAACATACGAGTAAAAAAAATAGAACATACGCTTTAAAATCTGGAAGATATAATTGAAAATCTTAAAACACACGTTTTAAAATTTAGAACATATAAGTTAAAATTTTGGAACAAGTTATTTAAAATTTATGACATCAAACTTAATTAATTTATGGTTTAGAACATGTGAGTACTAAATTAGAACATTTGATTTAATTTAGAACACTTAAAGAAAAGTTTAGAACATCATATTTAAAATTTAGAACATACGAGATTAGCTCGGATATCATGAAAAAAGAGAGCTATTTTAATAATACTTCATGAAAAAAGAGAGCTATTTTAATAATACTTCATAAAAAAATCATAAGATATTAGGTAAACAGTTGTCAAAAGGCTTATTACAAAAATTGTGAAGAGTAATGTACAATATTATGTATTAAAACATTTTGTAGTCACTATTTAATTTTTTTTTCAAAAGAAATGCAAAAGTGGAAAAAAATAATTTTAGGCGGGAAAATTTTAAATGAGAAGTTGACACATGTACAATTTGGATAAATAGATGATGTCAGCGGTTGTTCTTTTAGTATTAGTTATAGATTGTATTTTTTTCATATAATTTATCTAATTACCATAAGATTTATATTTATTATTTAAATATATGCAAAATATCTCCTTCTTTAAATAATTTTTTTTTAAAAAAGTAAAAAAAATATACCAAGGACATACCAAAAAATGACACGTGTCATGGCTGGTGTGTCTTTTATTATATATTAGGTTAGCTCCGTGCGATGCATGGTTTTAAAATAAGAAATGTCTTATGACTCTTTAGCACATGTTGAGAGAAAACAACTACTTTCTCTATAGTATTTTCTAATTAATATGAAAATAGAATTTATAAAAATCAATTAAACTATATTATCAACTATTTTTAACAACTACGTGTAAACAATAAAATAGCGTAATATGCGTAGAAAATCTAATATCTATAATTCAATTTGAATTTAATTTTCAAAACAATGTTAGATAGGGTAGCTTAAAAAGGGGGAAAAAATAATACGACATCATCCTTGCATTTTTGCCAGAAAAATAAATAAATAAGAGAATGACACGTAAGCAGTGATGACGTCAACGGTTGTAACTTTAGTAATATTTATAGATTGATTGATTTGTTTCCTTTCCAATCCATTTCCATTTTTCAAACCAAATGACCCCTTAATTTCAGCTCAATTTCAGTTTAGTTTCTAATTTCAGCTCAATTCATTTTAGTTCAATTTCTAATGTGAAATACTAAATACCGCCCTCCATAATTATTGCCACCGCCATCATTTTAAGCAAACGGACAATTTTACCCTTACTTACATTTTTTTCTTATTTTCTTTCTCTAACAATAATCCATCATTCACACCCATTACAACCACTACTTTCGACACCGGATAGACATGACGAGGGCGAATGTCAAGGAAAAATGGATGGTGATAAAGGTGGCTCGACGGAAAATGAACCGGGGACACCAACTTCCGGTGGTTGAAATTCGAAATATTATATTGACCGGAGAAACTGGCTGATGACGGTCAACCAGAGTTTAAAACTAATTGTACGGTAACCGGTTTTGGCCTCTGATTACCGTGGACGGTAACCGGTTTTGGCCTTAGGTCATCGTGGACGGTAACCGGTTTTGACGTCCGGTTATCGTGGACGGTAACCGGTTTTGACCTCCGATTGTGGCCTCCGGTTACCATACAATCAAATAAATTTTTTTATAAAAAAAAAACGAAAAAAATGGTGGCTGGTAATCGGAGGTCAAAACCGGTTACCGGCTGCGGTCAACCGGATTTGGTCGCCGGTTACCATATGCTGGCAACCGATTTTCATCTCCGACACCAGCCACCGAAGTTTTTTTTAAAAAAATGAAAAATCGCAAAACATACCTTTTTTCCATCCATTATGGCGCTGCTGCTGCCTGAGGACACGCTGTCGTCGTCGTCGCTACTTGAGGTCGTCGCGCCGCCTCTGCTGCCTGAGTTTGCGCCGCCAAGAGCTTCCCGGTAAGCCAAAAAAAAGTTGTTGTGGGGAAAAACATGGGTGTTGGGGGTGTTTGTGGAGCGGAAAAAATGGAGGAAAATGGGTTAGGATTAGTAAGGGTGAATTGACATTTTACTTCAAATGATGGCGATTTTGATAAATTTGAAGGGCGGTATTTAACACCCCTTTCTAATTTCCCTTCTCTCATTTTAATTCAATTTAGTTTAGTTTAATTTAGTCAGAACAGACCCATAGTGGATTAGTGGAGTCGTCCATCACGTACCGCAGATCTTGCCACACAATCTGGTATGATGGTATCCATGTGTCTAGATGTCTTCTCCAACTCCCTCCACTATTAATCTACTTTATTTTAGTACCAAGTATATAAATAATCTCCCACATTTTTAATTCATCCTTACATCAACCCACAACTCCAGAGTCCAGAACACTCTCAACTCTCTTAACTCTTTTGAAGCTCAACCTTCTTCCAACAAAAATGGCGGAATCTCAATCAAAATCTGAGAAAAAAAGTCCTCATAGTTTGCGGTGATTACATGGAAGATTATGAGGTTAATACTTAATATTCATCTTTCACAATAAATTCAAATGAAATCATATTAACATAATTTAAAAATTGTATGATTATTGACTTTTATTGTTGTTTAGGTGATGGTTCCATTTCAAGCACTTTTAGCTTATGGTGTAGCAGTTGATGCTGTTTGTCCTGATAAAAAAGCCGGGGATGTTTGCCGCACTGCTATTCATCAACTTTCTACTCATCAGGTTTCTGGGTTTTGTTTATTTAATTAGTATTTTTATGGGGTTTTTTTATTTTTTTTTTTCCTGTATTGCTTGATGATAATTGATTTATTTGGGGTTTAATTACATAATGAGTATTTGTTGAGAGATATAAATATAATCTCTCTGGAATTTAGTGACATGAAAGTCTCTTGCTAATGCTAAGAATTTTGAATATTGTTATAGCTAATGCGAAAGGGATTAAGCGAAAACAACGAACAAGTTCAGATAAACTAAGCTTGGTTTAATGCACAATGTGTTAGCTATGTCCACCAGGGATAGGAGTGGAGTTTTATTGATTTTGAGAAAAAATAAAACTGATAACAAAATTAGGCTAGTTTAAGGTATAGAGAGAGAACCCGTGTTTAGTCACTCGATGTGAAATACTGATTCAAGGTGTATTACGTATCTCCGAGTTTACAATTTCTTTTGGTTAGTTGCTGCTTTTCAAAGAAATGCTAATACTGTATCTAAATTCAATTATGGAATAGTTCATGAGTCGCTTCATGTAATCATGTATGTAGTTAGCTGGGATTCGAATGCATGACATACAAGTTCCAGCCATTCAGTGAATAGGAAGTTGTAGATAATTAGCACCACAAATACTTAAGCCGCCCGTAGAAGCATATAAAGTAAACCTAGAGCTGACCACAGTAAGCACGAGCGATCTTGTAATAGCATACTTTTACAAGTTACGGTTGCTTGAGTCCCTTGAGAAGATATCCAATTGTTGGAATGTGATTCGAGAATCAATCGTGACTTGGCATATAAGCTAAGGGGATAAATTACTTGTGTTAAGCAAGGAAGCATTGGATGGGTCAACTTCAACTGGGCATTAGGGTAATGTTCATGACTTCATGTTGATCTATATTTATTTTTGTGTCCAGTCTTTCATTAGATGAATTTTAAGTTAAGTCACAAATTGCTTCAATTTGGTTTGTAATAGAGTTCTTCAATTTGGAATTCAAGATTCTAGAGAGAGAATATAGAGAGAAGAAAGAACAGATTTTATTAGAATGAAAAATCTGATTACATATTACAATCCAGGAGCTATTTATATATTGCTCCAAGTAATAACAGAATCATTACAAATTCAATACATCAATGAAGTGTGGGAAAAGTTTGTTGTAACAGAATATTGCCAGCTCACTAATCTGCCATGTCAGCAATCCATACACCAACTGCAGCTATGCTTAAGTAACGTTATGATCTTGTGGATGAGCTGCTGTATTATCTTCTGCTTGATCATAAACTTGATGCTTCAATGAATGATCTTGACTTTCTGATAAATGATCATCATGACCAATGTGATAATGGTTCTTATTAGGTTATCTTTTCATGACTTTTTATTTTGCCTGCAGACTTACTCTGAAACTCGTGGACACAACTTCACCCTGAATGCAACCTTTGATGAGATTGATGCAAGCATATATGATGGTTTGGTCCTTCCAGGGGGAAGGGCCCCTGAATATCTTGCAATGAATGGGTCTGTTCTGGATGTGGTACGCAAGTTTCATTCATCCGGGAAGCCAATTGCTTCTATATGCCATGGGCAGTTGATCCTGGCTGCTGCTGATTGTGTTAAAGGTCGTAAATGTACAGCATTTCCTGCAGTGAAGCATGTGCTCATTGCAGCTGGGGCTCATTGGGTAGAACCAACGGACATGGGAGCTTGTGTAGTTGACCAAAATATAGTAACAGGCGCTACCTATGTTGGACATCCTGAATTCATTCAGATTTTTGTAAAAGCACTAGGAGGCATCATAAGTGGGTCAGATAAAAGGATCCTGTTCCTTTGTGGGGTAAGTAATGCTTTACACTTGATTAATGAGATAGCTGTTGATTTGGATATCTGCAATGATTTCAAGATGTACAATCTGAAAATTTTATTCTTGAGATCCTTATTGCAAATGCCAAGGGAAACTATTTTGACACATATATCCACGTGATATGGTTGTAGGTTCTTTATATATGGGTAAGTGGGTAACTGTTTATCATCCTCATATTATTTCTTTTCTGTTGGAGTAGGATTTCATGGAAGATTATGAGGTTATGGTCCCTTTCCAGTCCCTTCAAGCCCTGGGGTGCCATGTCGATGCCGTGTGTCCAAAGAAGCAGCAAGGGGATACTTGCCCAACTGCTGTACATGATTTTGAAGGTGATCAAACATACAGTGAAAAGCCTGGTCATGATTTTACATTGACCGCCACCTTTGAAGGTATAGATGCTTCAAGTTATGATGGTCTTGTGATTCCCGGAGGGCGAGCACCTGAGTACCTTGCTTTAGATGAGAATGTTATCACCATGGTGAAAAGTTTCATGGAGGCTGGAAAACCAGTTGCATCCATTTGCCATGGCCAACAGATTTTATCTGCAGCTGGTGTTCTCAAGGTAATTTTTTTTTTTTCTCCTTGATCCTTTCCTCTGTTAGTTCATATCACCTTGAAAGCTAGGAGTGTTTTTTTATCTTTATTTTTAAAATCCTGACACATATACATGCACTTACCATTAGAATGATCTGGTTTTTAGGAGCTTTTACATTTCTAGATTTGTTCATACTTGACTACGGACCTGTTTTAGATTTTCAAAAATTTCAATGGCTTGTGCTTGTTCCCATTGTAATTTATTTAGTTGTAATCAGTGTTACAAGGTTCGCGGTACGTAGCCACGAATCGCGAACTGAGTCGCGCGTATCGGAACGCGGTACAAACGCGACTTGGGTCGCTGGGGTTCGCGATCTGGATCGCTGAAGGAGGCGACTTTGGTAGCAGCTAAGCGGTTATTCTTCTTGTGCAACGTTCAATGGTTTCTTCCCGATATTTCCAATGCATTTTCTCTCTCTTCTGATTTTATTTCTTAGGAGTAGCTTTTTCTCTCTCCTCTCTCCTCTCTTCTGTTTTACACAGTAGTACATAAGGTGGCGGCTAGGGTTCTGTTCCAAATGTGCTTAAGTCTTTGGGCTTTTTATTATACAAGTATATATTATGTACTCTATTTTCTTAAGCAATTCACTAACCCACATAAATTCAAGCTAGGACTGATACAACTACGTTTTATATTATTTTCCAAATCAAAATCTTATTAATAAAAATCACCCATATATTTTATTAATTTATTTATTTCGTACCCAATCGTACCGGATTCATCATGGGTAGCGTACCGCGTATCCGTTTCCGTACCACGTTTCGTATCGAACCACATACCTTGTAACATTGGTTGTAATACTACCAGTTTCAATGCCATTCCTTTTTTACTGCTAAAAGTTTCTAATACTTTAGTCCCAACACAATTGGGTGTAATCTACATTCCCAATCTAGTGTGTCCCATTTGATTTAACACGTTCAATGTCATAAAAGGTTTAGCAAGTAGTTCGATAGTTATGGTATTTTAGCTAATATTTCCTATTAAAATTTTGATATAAAGTAGCTTTATTGTTAGGGGCGGCCCATAAATTTTGGAGTTTGATATTTGTACTTTTTACTTTTTAATAAAGAGCTTGTAAACTGAAGATTTTACAAGAAGCTCATGCTAATTAAGCAGCTATTTTCTGCTGATATTCCGCTCACATTCTGTGAGTAAATATATTGCCTTGCAGAGCAGTTTTAAAAATAAATAAACAGAAAAAAAAAAAAAAAAAAAAAATTGAAATAAGGAAGCAGAAGAGGTGCAGAGTGATTGATAGTGGACTGTATTTGATGTGATCAAATCACCATATAGAGCATACGACGGTGTTACAATCCCAGCTTAATTGGCTGAACACTTTCAATAAAGAAAAGCTAACAATATAGAATTCTCATTAATATTCATTAATCTTTTGTCCATAAACTCTTCTATTTACAGATTAACTCTCCTTCTCTCCCCTCTTTTTGTTGCTTAAGCTAACTCTAACTGAAATAATGACGATTTCTAATGTGCCTTTCCCCAGTTCCCCTATGCTCAATGCGTTACAAGCACATGAATTTTGCTGCTACTAAAGCTTCTGATTGTCCTGCAATTTTGTCTAAATCATCAGGCCTGCTAGAATGAGATTATGTGATGCAGCTGACTAGTTGCACCTTGTTACCTTGTATGACGAGCTACAGTAATGTGACTTGGTTTTGCTAAGACTTTTTTGCTACCTTGGTGAAGAACCTGATTCCTTTTTTTTTTTTTTTTTATTATGTCTGCAGGGGAAGAAATGTACTGCATACCCTGCTGTGAAGCTCAATGTGGTATTAGGAGGGGGAACTTGGTTGGAGCCTGAACCAATAAATCGTTGCTTCACGGATGGGAACTTGGTGACAGGAGCTGCTTGGCCAGGGCACCCTGAATTCGTTTCACAGTTCATGGCTCTTCTTGGTATTCGTGTATCATTTTGAATGATTTTAAGATCCATCAGAATAATTGCACGATGTCTGAAATATCTGTGAGTTGTGTGAATTCTAGTAATGTTATGGTGAATAATTGTCTCAAGAGTGTTTCTAGGCTTTTCAAGAGGTAGTTTTGCTTTTTCTGAGATATGGTGGTTAATGTATTTTCTGTATCATATGAATATACATGAAGATTAAATGATAAATGCAGAGATGCAGGTTGCTCTAATGATAGAAGATTAGAAGCACTACGCGTCCATGCACAAAAGGCCCCAGCTTATTGTTTTCCCGCCTCTCCATCTATTCTAGTCTCCCAAGTTTTGTTCCGTCATATCTTTGATTGATCCACCATAAGAGGGAGTGAAATTATTGATTCAATCACCCACCTCGCCTTTCCTAAAGAACGCCACCTTCACCACCAACTTGTCATATTCCTAGACCCTAGTCTTGTTGAGTTCCAGCTCTTTAAGACTCTCGATGCTGCATAATTTAATTATATTGTCAGTGACAAACACCATCAATTTCCTCTCTTGGGGATAAAGGGCAAGCCTATATAAATTCAGCCAACGATTTCAAATGAAATGTGAGATCATTCTTCAACTCCTTGTACTCTCAAAACGGTACCCTATTCAATTGCTCTAGACCTTGCCTCCAATATCCAACTTCATGCTCGAAATAAGGCTCATCTTGAAATCTAACTTGGACAAAATTTGTTAAAAAAATCTCAATATGAAGTTGAAACTTTTGGCATCCCGGCACATTGACTTCTTTAAAATTTTTGAGGAGAAGTATGCCAATGTAAAGCAGAAGTCTCTAAACTCTGAAGGGTTATTTGGAGCACTAATAATCTAATATTCAAGATCTTACATGATGAAACTTTGAAAGATTTCGGAATGGGAGATCACGAAGTTGGTGAGGACGCAGGAGAATGGGTTTACCGCACATTGCTGTAAGGGTGTGTTCTATTCACCTGATTTTTACTTATCTGATCTTATCTGTACTTATTTGAAATTATATGATCTTATCTGAACTTATTAGCTCTTATTAGAACTTATTTTAGTTATAAATTAAACTTGATAGCTCTAATTAACCCTTATCACAACTTATAAACTTATTTTTCCTAAGCTTATCTTATATGAACTTATTAACCCTTATTTGAACTTATCTGAACTTATTAACCATGAAATAAGTGGAAATAAGGTGAACAAAACAGGGCCTAAATCACGTAAATTTGTGTTCGTTTATTTCTTTATTGATTTCATCATCTTTCTTGCATTTGTTGTCACATAAAGCTCTATGAGTTTTATATACGGAGCTAAAAGTGGATATAATAAGTTAAATTACATACAAAGACGTCATCCGAAACATTATTACCTATGACAAAATTAACACTACACATGTAACACATCCATGCATGCATGCAATAATACAGCAAAACTTCTGTTCCCTAGACTTGTCTCCATGCAAGTGAGACGTGACAGAGGAGAACTACTAAATAAATTAACACATTGTATATATATATATAGATCAAACATTGTATTCTACTTCAATTCCATAAACCATAAACATTAACTTATAATCCAAAATGAGTGAAATCCAAAAAGAGGAAATTTACGTTAAGAAAGAAGAAGTTGAAAAGCTAATGGAATACCTCCCGAAGGCTAAATTGAGAACTAGCCAAAAGTTTCACATGGTCTTGTATGAAGATTTTTGGTACTTTGTCAATAATTCTTCATTTAGAAATGTTCTCACCTTTCAAAAACACTTTGTAGCTCGAGATAGTGATATATTCATCACAAGTCTCCCCAAAACTGGTTCAACTTGGTTAAAATCTCTATTGTTCATGATAGTTAATCGTGCAAATTATCCTATTGATCAAAGCCCTTTACTCACCCATCATCCCCAAGAACTTGTGTATAGCTTAGAGACCGATGTCTATAATAAAGCCTTTGATTATCCTCAACCACACCACCTTAGTGAGCTTCCGTCGCCTAGGCTTCTTAGCACTCATGTCCCTTACACATCCCTTCCTGAGTCAATTAGGAATTCTGGGTGTCGGATTTTGTATATTTGTCGAAACCCTTTAGACACTATAGTGTCAAAATATCACTTTGTTGTTGATGGTATGAAACACGTGGAAAATTTTGTAAAACCTTCTTTAGAGGATTTCTTTGAAGATTTTTGTGATGGAAAAGTTGCATATGGGCCTTTTTTCGACCATGTTCTTGGGTTTTGGAAGATGAGTTTAGAGCACCCTGATAAGGTGTTATTTCTTAAGTACGAAGACTTGAAAGATAATCCTGTAAATCACTTGAAGAGATTGGCGGAATTTATAGGTATGCCCTTTTCAACTCGAGAGGAAAATGAAGGTGTCATACAACAAGTCATAGAGTTTTGCAGCATTAAAAATATGAAGGAGTTGGATGTTAATAAGAGTGGTGTAATCAACAACATGTTTGAGAAGAAGAGCTATTTTAGGAAAGGAGAAGTTGGGGATTGGACCAATCATTTCACACCTTCCATGGTTGAGAGGGTCAACAAACTCATGGAAGAAAAACTTGAGGGCTCTGGTTTATCCTTTAAACTATTGCCTCCTAATTAATTTATGCTTTGTTTTTCTTTGCTTTAATTGGTTTTTTTTTTTTTTTTTTTTTGAAGAATTAATTGCTTTTAATTTGAATGTCTTGATTTGCTTCCTTTCCTTACGAAACAATTGTATCCCCCTTTTGATTTCGCTTTTGATAATGAGAATAATAATATTTACACTTTCTTACGTTAAAATTATGGGTAATGTTATATGTAGGCCTAAGGGTTATATATAAGAAATTAATACACTCTTGAAAATGGTATAAAATTAGGAATTCATGACAAAAACACGAGAATCAGTTTAATTAGTGTTTATATTTTCATTATTTCCAAACTTTACACAATTTTCAAGTGCATATTTAATGCTTACTAGGTTAGTTCCCGTGTCATGAATGTTAATTTTCAATAATCATTATTAAACTACCATTGTAATTGTTTTTATAAAGAAAAAAAAAATCTAAGAATATAGTTGACAAATTTTGATCAAAGTACAGAACTACAAAGATATGTTAGGTATAAAATGATGTAAAAAATAATCAAAATTATGTTAAGAATGTTTTTTTTTTATAGCTATATAAAAATTTGTGTTTAAATATGTCAAATACTTTTATTTTTAGTAATTATATTGTACTCTACAACATTAGGGAATTATTTTTGTATAAAAATTTGTTCTATAATATAATTAATTTCAGAAAAAAAAAAAAAAACTAAAAAACTAAGGACACACCAGGATATGACACGTGTCATTGCTGGTGTGTCTTTTAGTATATAGCTATTGATATGTAGCCCAAGGGCTATGTATAACATTTTCCTAAAATTATATAAGTAGTTAATATAATAATATCTTTATTTTTATATTAGTAAAATTAATAAAAAAAGTGATATCATGGAATGTACAATGTGACTAAGCTAGCAAAACATATATGTAGTATTACATAAAATTAGTTGTGTTTTATAATAGTATAAAATCAAGTTAAAGTTGATATATAAATAATGCAGAAATCAAGCTGATTTACTTATTGACGAGGGAGTAGCAAACATTTATTTGGATTTGTATAGTTGGGAGAAGATCAGATATGATGCATTTTTTTTTTTTTTTTTGAAGGGAGATGTAAGGAATATTTCAAGCATCCCACACTTGAGCCCCATTTTTGAAGGGAAGGAAGCTAGAGCAAAAGTCGCCAATAATTTTTAGGAACTTGTAAACCGTTCACATGGTGAAGGTTACACCCCTTCACAATCCATGAGATCGCTAACTCCATGGTGGTCTGGAACCATGACTGGATATTCGGGAATAAAGGTACAATCCAACCTAAAAGAGATTGAACCTGCCCTAAAAATAGGCATCTACTTTATTCTTCTCATATTCATGTGCGCTTTCTGACTAACATACAATCAATATATTAATCCTAATCCTGTTTAATCTATGTTGGTTGAATATTGATGTACAAACAAATCTATTATTGGCGATCACTTGAATTATAATCATATTAGCCTAATCAAGATTATTAACTATCTTATTAAGTGTGATTACAAGTACAAATTCCCTTAAAACATGAAAAAAAGGCGTGGTCAAGCAATAACAATAATAATCTAGCAACAATAAATTATCATCTTCATAATAATATTCTCAACAAAGCATAATATTAGCAAGATCTTAGGCATGATAATAACAAGATTAATAACAAATCCTAGCATGTCACTAAACATTAAAGATCAAATCTTTAACCCTAACATGATACTAACATGATATTAAAAAGAATAGGAAACATCCCAAGATACTAGAAACATACATGACATTAGAAATCTTAGTTATTACCCTATACATGATACTAGGAATCATAAAGACATCCTAACATGATACTAGGAATTAAAATAATCAAAGCATGATTTCTAAATCAAAATAATAACATTTAAATTACTTACTTGGATGTCTCGTATCTCTTTATAATAATAAAATACACGCGTTAGTAAAGTCAAGAAAAATATTAAATCAAACAATTTAATTAAATAATTGAAAGAGGGATTTGAGACCAAACACTCAGAAATTATCAACCTTTCACGTCTAGGGCAAAGGCAACTTCGAACTTGGCTAGGTGTGTCTAGAACTTGTGAATGTGGGATTTTGTAAGAGGGAAGGTTTAGAAAAAGAATAGAGAGAAAATAAGCTTCTACCTTTTAGAGAGAGAATAGAGATTAGATGATGATTGTGTATGAATAAAACGGGGAGATACGACCCCTATTTATAAGAAATAGTCCGAAATAGAATTTGAATCGGAATAAAACTACTCAATGCCGCGAGCGACAAAGCTTGTCGCCATGCGACATGAATCACGCATGGCGACAAGCCCTGTCGTTTTGCGACAATTAAAAGATAAAACGCGCTTTTAGTACGGAATCCTTTTCTTAATATAATTAAGCAATTAAAACTCTGTTTAATCAATTTTAAATCAGATTTTATCATAATAAAACACTTGTTTTATTTCAAACCAAATTCATTATTTTTCTAAAATATTAATTATCAATCCTAGTGCTATTAGAACTCAAAATAACCTTCTACACTATTCTAGGAGACTATAATCAATCCTAATAATTTTAGGAATAATAATTAATGGGCCCTCTACTAGATCATTGGGCCATAAAATCATTTCAAACCCAAATTAGTATTTTGACCATAACTTCTTCATTATTCGTTGGAATTGGGCTTATAATATATCATTGGAAAGCTCTTAACGAGCCCGATCCAACTACACTATTAATGGACCCTTATCATGGACCAAGCTAAATTGGAATGACTATTTTTATAAATAGAGAAGATTTTCTAAAACAGAAAGAACGATTTTAATCAAAACAAACACATCACAAGACTTTTCACACTTTCACCTTATTCAATAATCAAGCGACGTGAAAAGTATTTATCACTAGGTTTAGTTTTATTGGGAGACACAATTGAGTGTCTACAGAAGATATGTTGGTAATAGTTTTAAGGGTTTTAATTAATTTATAATGATAGATTTTTAGTGAAATTGATATTGATATCTTTAAACCTTGCATCTGAATAGTACATGAAGCGGAATTTCACAGGTAATGTTCTGAGTGAGTTTCGGTAACTTAAGTATCAGGATCCCTTAAGATTTATTGGCCAATTAAGTACCTGCACAATCAATGAAAATTAGTTAACTCGGAGGATTATCCAGGGATAACGACTCTGATGCTAAAGTTAGCAATTGATAAGTAGAATGAAAGAAGAGATGAGAAAGTGTTTAAGAGAGAGAGAGAGAGAGATTAACATCGTACCTTAATAATAGATTATGCTTGGGTATTTATAGGAAAATAACCAAAATGCTGCCACCTATCGACATAGATGGCAAGTGCGTGGCCTTCATTGGTAACAGCAGGTGCCTACGTGGTCGAAAGCAACTCTCCACCTGGTCGTCATAGGGGCCGTCATGGATCGGAGCATACGCCGACAACAATAATAGTAGGGAATTAATGGTGTAACGTGATCTTATAGACAAAATCATAACAGTGTCGACACTATCCCATACAACTATTCCCCCAAGTGGGGACGTCTGTGCGTTCTCACTCATCGTAGGGATACATGAAAAAGTGGATGGTGTTAATAACAGGATAATATTGTTATTTCGATCTATGGAAACTGAGCTGAAATGAACTCAACCATTTCAACCTTAGGGGACTGAGATGTAGCCGAGATTAAAATTAAAAAATCTCCGATTTCCCCCCAATGAGCATATTGAAAACTAAGATATGCTCAATTACAAAAACTATGCCGAGCTTAAAAAATCTATGATTTGCCTCCCAAGTGAGCATTTTGAAAACTAAGATATGCTAAATTACAAAAACTAGGTCGGGATTTAAAAATCTCCGATTTTCTCTCAAGTGAGCATATTGAAAACTAAGATATGCTCAATTACAAAAACTAGACCGAGATTAAAAAATATTTCCGATTTGCCACGTCCCCCTAGTGAGCATATTGAAAACTAAGATATGCTCAATTACAAAAATGAACTAGGCTGAGATTAAAAAATCTCTCATTTGCCCCCAAAGTGAACAAATCCGAATTGGGAGGTGCTCACTTTGATTAACAAAGCTAAGGGTAAAAAACGGGGGCATGATGGAATAAAGAAGAAAATGTGGAAAGTGTTTGCAGTAGTGGAGCATGTGTCAAGGCTCTAAAACGGGTTGTTGAAAAATCGCTTTTTCCTAGCCGTAGGATTACATGAAACATAACTTGTGGAAGAACATATGAGACATACAATAAGAACATAAGAGATATAACAAAAGAAGATAAGAGATACTACCTCCGATTTTTTTTAGTTGCGACTTTGGGGTATCATTTGAGAGATATAAAATATTCCAAAGTTGCAACTAAAAAAAATCGGAGGTAGTATACGAAAAGGACCTATGTAATATTGACTGAAATCATGATCGAATACTTCGTATTAACAAAGAGAGTATATAGAATGGGTTTGATTGACTGCATTTTTACATTGATGTATGAATATAGATTATATTGCAATTAGGCCTATGGGGCGGTTCGGGGCAAAGAAAGTCACCTTTTATAAGGCTAATAGTGGGTTGGGCCAATTCAGGTGGATAATGTAAGACCCCAAATCTCCCTCTACGAAAATACTAATATAATACGTATAATTATACCATAGAGATCGAGTTAGGCGTATTAGCGCTGCGTGATTACGCAAGGCTACTAAAAAATATTTAACTTAAAAACAAAACTTGCAGTGGAAAACTAAACTTTCTTTTATTAATGCTTATAAAAATAGTAACATTGTTGTAGGGAATAAATTTCAAGCTTTAATCCCACTAGCTTGAACCCCAATGTGATCATACACTAAAGTACGGTGGCGTCCAAAAGGGAAGAAGATAGAGCAAAAGAGTCGCCAACAAGTTTTTAAGGAACTTGTAAACCGTTCATAGGATGAAGGTTACACCCCTTAACGATCCAAGAGATCGTCAACTCCATAAGGTCTAGAACCAAATAAGGGTTCGGGGATGAAGGTACAAATCCAACCTAAAAGAGATTGAACCTGCCCTAATAACAGGCCTCTACTTTATTCTGATCATATTCATGTGCGCTTTTTAATTAACATGCAATCAATAGAATTAACCCTAAACTTATTTATCTATGTTGGTTGAATATTAATGCACAAACAAATTTATTATTGGCGATCACTTGAATTATAATCACAATTAACCCTAAACAAGATTATTAAGTATCTTATTAAGCGTGATTACAAGTACCAATTCCCTTTAAACATGCATAAAGGCGTAATCAAGTAATAAAATAAAATATCAAGCAACATAATAAATAATAAATAATTATGATAATAAAAATATAATCATCAATAATAATAACAATAATAATATTCATAATCATCATAAATTATAACAATTATAATCATAATAATATTCATGTTAATACTAAAGCATAATAAAAATAGCAAGATCCTAGGCATGATACTAACAAGATTAATAACAAACCCTAGCATGTCACTAAGCAATAAAAATCAAATCTTTAACCCTAACATGATTCTAACAATCATAAATATTAGGAAGAACATAGGAAGCATCGCAGGAATCATAGTAAGCATATTTGATATTATAA